ATGACCAGATACGATAAATAATTTTACTAATGGTAAAAAATTAAAATTGAAACATATTAACTATTGTTTAGAATTTATTCGTATATTATTGGCACCCATGATTATAATATTTTTTTATTTTTTATTTTGATTTATTTCTATAATTAAATCTTGTAAAATATATTTTCATTGCTGAATATGCTAAATAAACCATAAATCCTTATAATATGAATTAGAAAGATCTTGATCATAGAGGGAATCGAGTGTTTGGCATTTTCTAAATCAAAGTTGTTTAATTAGTATACAAAATTAAATTCTAAGAAAACATGTGCATATTTTGTAAAATATTTATACACAATTTAATATTAAATTTATTTACATATTTTAAATTGATTACATAAAATAATGATTAAGTATTATATGGTGAACAAAAATAAGTAAAATTGTTATTCTCTCTTATATCAAGGAATAAATATATATATAGTAAAATTAAATTTAAATTAAGATAAATGTGTTAGTGGAATAATATATTAATTATTTTAATATTTTTACTAAAAGAATAATGTTGATTAAAAGAGGTGCAAAATATATTATAACCTTATTGTTTATTATACTTTACGCTGATTAAAAGAAATAAAAAATAGATGATAATCATATTGCTTTATATACTTAAACGGACAAAGCATGTGAAAATAACTCATTTAATATTTCTGTCCCGTGCATCGCACGGGGTACGTACTAGTAAGTCCTAAAAAGGAAAAGGTCAATCCAGATTTTTATTGATAGTTGGTTCACACACACACACACACACACATGTACTGGGTAAAAAAATTTAAAAAAATCACCGCTCCCTTTTTACTACTTATGTCTCATTTGAACAGTTTTGACCCTGACATTTTTTTTTTAAAAAAAAAAAAAAGATTTAGCGCGGTCGGCCGGCGAAACCGGTAGCACCGTGCGCGGCCACAATTGCCGATTGGCTGCACTGTGCGCGGCCGCAATTACCGGCCGAACGCACCGTGCGCGGTGGCAATTGTCGATTGGTTGCACCGTGCACGGTCGCAATTGCCGGCCGACCAACGATATCGATCAGCCGGATTTTTTATTTCTTTTTAGTTTTTTTGAAAAAATGCAGGGGCAAAACGATCCAAGCGAAGGCGGTAGGTAGAGGTGTCCAACAGCTGCTGAACCGACCCGACCCGACCCGTCAAGTCGATGGGCCCAAATACTGGGCCCGAAATCGACCGGGCTATATCCAAGGGCCCATTCAAATCAGCTTGCCCGACCCGGCGATACTTTGAACCGCCAATTTTTTTAATTAATAATAATAATAATAATAATAATAACAATAATAATAAATACAACTACAACCAACCCGGAATGAACCGGTCAAAAAAAGAAAAAATGAAGACCCAGAACCATCCCGATTTTACCACGGGTCCAGTTCCAAGACCCGTAAATCCGAACCAGCTCCCTTGACCACGTATAGTGGTATGTAGTAGAAGGATGGTGTGTTTAGTAATTCACTGAAAACACCCACACAACTAAATCCCACCTCCATAAACATGCACCTTTCTTTCACAACAAACAAGGCAAGAAGGGAAATACGTGAAAGATTTATTACCTCAACACCCATTCTTACTCGATGATCCTTTTGCAACCAACATTCATTCACCCACCTGCATTTTTCCTTGTCCTTTCCTTTTCCCACACATACTCCAAAATCTCAAAAATTGCCCAAAAAAAAAAAAAAAAGGACCACATATGCACTTCTGTAATAGGGAGATGCTACGGTCCCGTTACAGAACCATTTCGTCGGGTTTGTAGCCGTTAGATCAATTGTTCCCGACAGTTACATGATGATCTGACGATTATAAATCCCGACAGAATAGTTTTGTAACGAGACCGTAGCATTTCCCTATGTAATATATGGCTATATTACTAAAAATGAGGTTTCAATTAAAAGCAGGACATTTTAGTATATTAACATAAATACGCCCCCAAATAAATTTCAGTATGACACCTAATTTAGTAAGTTTTTGGCCTACACTCCCCCTAACCAAATCTACTTTTAATGATCATATTCACATCTACTTTAAATTATCCACTAAATTAATACAAATTACAGTCTACTACAAATAAAACATTTTAAATCTAGAAAATAATATATGTTTATATGCACGCTTACAAATCAACAATCCAAAATTAAATTATATCAAAATTCAGAAATTAAATTGTCTTGAATATTATATTTTTTTTTTTCAAGACAAAATTAATTCAGTATCTCTTCCCACAATACTTCAAATAGTTGCATCTATAATAAATTTTTTTTAAAAAAAAAGCTACTATTTTAAAATACTGCCCTTTGTTTTATGGACCACGTGTTATAAGAACCCATTTCAAATTAGATTGAGTCATACTTAGTTTCAAAATGTAGTAGGTAAAAACAGATGTTGTGTTCTTTTAATTTCAGAATCATATCAAGTATCAATTAAAAAAAAATTCAGAATCATATCAAGTATCAATTAAGGAAAATTGTCACCATCATTGACGTTTTTAGGATTAATTGCAAAATATAGCCAGTATCTTGTACACGACGACAATATTAGCCACCATCTTCACGAATTGACAATATTAGGCAACAACTTTCAAAATTTTGAGATTATTACCAATGTCCGACCAAATTCGATGGCTATTGTTGCCACTGCGTAAAAAGATACTGACAATATTTTGCAATTTATCTATTGAATTTGGGTAATAATCGCGAAATTTTGAAAGTTGTTGTCTAATAGTGCCAATTCGTAAAGATGGTGACCATTATTGCCACCGCGTACAAGATATTGGCTATATTTTACAATTTAGTCATGTTTTTATAATGTATTCTTTCCATAAAATAATATATATTTATATACACACATTCAAAAATTCAAGTATTTCCACAAAATCAATCATGTAAATTTTTGTAACAAACCAAATCACCTCAAATAAAATCTGCAATACCCAAAATGCTGCAAAACCATGGCAGTATTTACCAGTGATCTGCTTACTCCAACTTTCATGTTCTCCACTCTTCAAAGCATTGCAGAAAAGGACCATATTATTGTAAATGAAACAAAAATATAGTTTTATGCAAATTCAAGCTGTTTACGTCTAGTCGAGCAACAGGGCTTTAAACAGATGGTCATTTCACCTAGCTCCTAAGTTCAGCAGGGGTTTAACAGTTAACACTCAAAAATAGGTCATTCGGTAAAACTTGACTATCACAAACTGGTCTACTAAGAACCGGGACTCTTCCTCAGAGTCGGTCAAAAAGGGCATTTACGTGTGAATTCAAATAAGCAGCAAGCTTTACAGTATCTGAATCATGATTAAAGCTAAACTACCCGTGTTACTAATCCTCTCTCACTTCCCAACAAATCAAATGATGAACTAGATTTATTTGAGATAAAATATAAAGGTTTATAAGGCCGTTTTAATCAACTATAACAATCTACTACAAATACAAATATTAACAAACCCTAAGTTGCACATTGAGAACATTTTTCAACCAAATTTATTACCCTGAAGAATTCAAGGAAGTCGTATTTACCACAAATAAAATCTAGATAGATTTATGCAAAAAAAAAATAAAAAAAAAAATAAAAAAAAAAATGCACAACTTAGTCTCTAGCCCTCAAAGGACATAAAATTTGAACAGAATCCGGAACACACACACACACACACAAACATATTCAGATAGGAACAATTATTCAAATGCACTTAACACAATTAGCAAGAAGGAATTCTCATACGGTAAATCATAAAATTTAATTTTTTGAAAGTTTCGACCAATTACCTAACCAGATGACTTGATAGCCAAAGCAAAGCAGAAAAAGAATAATCACATGCACTCAAAAAAGACTGGGAGGCAGGAAGGGCTAATGCAGTAGTAGATGTAAAGTCACAAAACTGATATTCACAGACTTGAAATGTAGCCTCAGTTAGATTTACTTCCATCAGATATAGGAATATAACTACAAGCGTCGGTATGATAAGCAAAAATGGCTTACACTTAGAAGTATGTGTGCGGGGGATGCATTTGTCAGGAAAAAAATTCTAATATAGACAATCCTGCCAAGGGTGTCCACAACTTCTCAAAATTCAATTTCATATCCACATAAATATGGCATCTGTTGAAGCATTATTAGGGCCGATTCTCCCAGCATCATAAGCTGTAACATGAAAACACAGGCAACATGACAAGATACAATCAGCCCTTGATATTAGATATTTAAAATGATTAACTGCACAAAGATGAAAATGTGTATAAATATAACATACAAATATATATATATGCAGTCATTTCTCCAGATATAAATTACTTGAACATTTTATATCTTTAGATGTGACATAGTATGTGTAATATGGAAACATGTCTTATGTGCATAGGACACTCTTCCAGGATAAAAATTTTGCGTTTTTGAGAAGAAAATGGTAGTTTATGCTTTAGATAATTTGCAATGTACTTAGGACAAGACATTCCCATCATTGGACTGGTAATTCTCTTTTATCATTTTACAGCAGTTAGTTCATGATCTTGAGAAAGTTAGGGAAATATAAAGCGTTTCCACTCAAACACATAATACTCAGTACTCACCATCTTAGATTTATAACGAAATCCTAAATCTTGCACTCAGCTTAAAGTGCAGATAAACTGCTAATCATATAGGAAGTTCATGCAATTCGTAAAGACTCAGTAGCACATCGGACCTCAAATTTCCTCCAAAACACACTTCTGACTCAATAAACAAGTCCAGAATGTTCCGCATTTTAACAATGTGCTCCAAAAGGACATGTTGTATAAAAAAATTCCTGTCTACCCATTTAAAAGTTATGTCTTGTGACAGTTCATGCAAATCTTGACCCGAACAAGTATTTGTAATTTCAGTGCATGCAAATCCCAAAATGGGTAGGCAAGAAATTTGCTCCAAAGCAGAGGAACGAAAAGCTCACCATGAATCTAATAAATTTCACAAAATCCCTTAGGCTGGCCTCCAATTTCCAGCTGACACGTCTGGTCTGCTATGCATTATCTGGACCCCATGAACTGTGACAAAAATACATCAGAGTTGGATCAGTATTTAAAAAAAAAAAAAAAATAGTGGTCATGAAAGTCGTGGATAACAAGAAACACGTTGTTTCCAGTAAGATCACCTGCACTTGGAGCAGCTGATAGACTATTTGCTGCGGAGGACTGCAAATTAACAACATTTGTGGGAGGCCTTTCCAGAGGGGGTCCAAAATAACCTGTTATTACAGATGCTCATGACTTGGGTTGTCATTACCTCAAAACTTTAATTATTTCTAGAAGTAATTTTGTCGAAGCTCTTTGAAAGCCATCATCAAGTTCCTTATCAGGAGAAGATTTAAGAAATTATCCACCAACACATTAGTAAGAAAACTAGATCAAAATGCAACGTACTAGATCAAAATGCAACGTTCAGGTTCCGACATATGATTGCGAGCATTGTCATTTAAAGCAAATCAAATATCTAGAATCCAAGTGTGCCCCTTGTAACATAGTTTATTGTGTGCAGCTCACTATCAACCAAATCTAGGCAGATACATTCTCTTGCAAACTTGGACTAGAAATCTGAAAATGCTACCAATTTGGTTGAGGACGCAAAACAAATACGGTCATTCTTGAACACACGAGTCAAAAAAGTTGATTTGTAACCATTAGCAGGGTAAATATAGGCACGTTGACCAAAAATTAAATGAAACGGGCAATCACCATCCATTGTTACGAGTTACAAGAAAGAAAAAATGTGAAGAAAAGAAATAACCCTAGTCTTTATCTCATTGAGATATGCTCTCTTCTCAATATGTCAGTTGTAATGAAAATCCATCTAAATACACAATTCTCCAAAAATGAAGCAAAAACAAAGGGTCCTAGAACAGAACAAGCAAATCATAATAATATAATCGCACTACTCACTGTAAAAGAGTAAAATTTGCACCTTCATGTGAATAGGGTTGATCAGAACATGGCCTTCCTCCAGTTGTCCACCCCCTGCGTGAACCATCAGGATTGAACTCATTTACTTGCAACCGCCAACGGTCATCAGTAGCATTTCTCCTTACACCGTCTGAAAAATTTGGTGCCGGGTAAAGGGGGTATAGATTTTGCTGGGGGCCTGTGTTTGGATAGATAAAATGACTAGGCGCTTGTTGACTTAATGGTTCGTGATGAGGTCTCTGAGCAAAAGGCACAGCACCAGGTTGAAAAGGTTGCCTCTGTTGAGGAACTTGGGTATTCAAATATCCACCATCACTCTTTCCATATTCCACAGGTTGTGATGAATTATACCCAACATGTTCTCGCACATTACTGACAGCAGATGGAGGAAAGAATGATGGATGCTGGGAAAATACTTCACCTCTGACAGGGGCATCAATACGAGACCCATGAGTATTTGACACCACATGGACATGCTGATTTACCTGGAAAAGAACACATAAATATTCAAATTCTTCATTCGTGTAACGAATAAATAGACAATACCAACTGATACCCATGCATGAGGGGAGAGCTGCAAGACTTAGGGTGTGTTTGTATATCAAATATCTCAATCCATACTCAATTCATACTCAAAATCTAACTCAACTTTAACTCAACCCACCATCCCTAATATTATCAATATAATTAAATAATATCAACCAATCATTCTTACACTTCAAATCCACTTTAATTTACTACTATTCATCTACTCACATAATTTTAACTAACTATCACTTCATATCATCTATCTCCTACTTCTACATAAAATCAATATTAGTTATTTCATTTTAAATATTATTTTAATATAAAATCAAAATCCCACTGACAACTAACCATACCGCTTTTTTTCAAAATTAACTCTGGTTAACCAAAAAAATTCATTTTAAGCGGAAATATTTGTATACAAACATGCCCTTACAGATGGTGTTCCACCAATATCATGCATCAGAGGAGGTGGGTGATACGTCAATGGCTGAGAAGATGATATTGTCGATGGCAAATGTTGCGGCATCAGTGCAGGCGGAGGTGGCAATGATTGATTGGAAATAAATGGTGGGGGGCCCACAGGCGGCGGTGGAGGACCCATGGGTGGCAAAGGGGGGAACTGATATTGGTCCGAAGGTGGCAGAGGTGGCGGTGACGGAGGAGATGGTGGTGGAGGCGGAGGCGATGGGGATGGGGATGAAGGCGGTGGCGGTGGAGGCGGTGGTGGTGAAGTGGGTAGAGGTGGGGTTGCGGGAGGAGAACCAGGTGGCAGTGGTGGAGAGCCCTCGGGAGAAGGTAAAAACTCAGAAGCAATTGAAACTGATGGAAAGAGCCCATCAGAACTTTTGCTGTTTCTAGAAAACGGGACTTCGTCCTTTGGTTGTGCAGAAACATCTTCCATCTCGAGCTCACCATCGACATCCTCGAGTATGCAGTGGCGCCGGTCACTTGGAGTAACGTTACTATTCTCGGGATCACCAAGGGTACGCTCGGATGGTGATGTGTCTGGAACTTCCTTGTGCCCTGTTTGGATATTTTCTTCGTTTTCCTCCTCTTCGTCGAATAAATGAGACGGTAGCAATCCAGATAATTGAAATGTAGCATTGCTGAAACCAATAGAGAAAATAAATCAATTAAATTCAAATCAGAACTTAAAAAATGAGTATGTACCAGATATCATCACCATCACACACAGACAAATTAATTAACTACACATGTATGCCAAAGTAATCAAAGATCCAGACATATGTTGCATTAGTTCGCATTAGGACATTTATATTTATGCAAAGTAAATCGACTAGAGACATCAAACACAGCAGCAATGACAATACACTATACAGATAACAATAGGCAATAGCACATGGTGGCGAATGGAGACATAGGAGTAGAGTTGGCGAGGAATTTGAGTATTAAAAACATGAAGGGCAAAAGTTTATCAATGACAAGCCAATATCATGCTCTCAAAGAATAGCTTGCATCTCTGGATGCTGCAAATCAGCTCATGGACCATGGCATACAGCTGTGTTTTCTTCTCTATAAGCAAACAGTTAAACAATTACTAAACACACATCAGAGAGAAATCTCTGCATGTGTCACTGATACAACATAAAGACACACACAGGCGCGCGCGCTTTCACACATGTTTTAAATTATATAAGAAACCAAAGCAGACAATCCATCAGCTAATTGAAATACAACAATATCAATCATGGCAAAGGCACAAGAAAAATGTGAATGAGGTGTTTCAACAATCAGGTATGACAAATCAGGATGTATCATAATATAGGATTTTGTTTTGGTAAAAATAAAATATGGGGGTTTCTAGAAAGTTCTGGAGGTTAGGGGGTGATTGTTTATGGATTGAACTAGTTTTTATTTGGTTTATTATTTTTTAAATATAGTTAATTTTGAAAAAAGGTGGTATGGTTAGTTGTTAGTGGATATATTAAATAATATTTAAATAAAATAAATAAATTTGATTTCATGTAAAGTAGGAGAAAAATGATTGGAAGTCATAGTTGGTTAGAATTATGTGAGTGGATGAATAGTGAATTAAAGTTGGATGTGACGTGTAAGAATAATTGGTTGATATTATTTAATTATGTTGATAATATTGAGGATAATGGGGTTGAGTTAAATTTAAATTTTGATTGGTCTTTTTACTATTCAATTTATATACAATCATCCCCTTAGTAATTGGGTGAAGATAAATACAAATTATGGAAACAAACAACCCCAAGTCCATATAATGACCACAACTTCTGGGCAGTGTAACTGGTTGCGCAGCAATATCATATAACAAATTGAAAAGCAAATACAAAGCCCACAAAGTAAGCAGCCCATGCTAAAAGTATAATCAGAAGAGAAATAAAAAGGAAGAACTGTTCAAGCAAAAAAATAAGTTTGCTGACCTTCCATACTCATCCACGAGCATACCCTCTATATCTCTGATCGGATCATCAAAAGCTCTCTCAGCTCGGGATGGACGCCTTTGGGATATACCAGTTGACGTTTCACCATTCATTGCTCCAATATCATCCATATGACGGCGGAGAGCAGATTCCGGAAATATTTTTCTCTCAAACCACAATCGCAACACCTAATAAACGATTGTGGATTAGTTGTTTTATATTAGATCTAGAGAGCGACATATAAGAAATTATAATCACCTTATGGCACTGACGGCGATTTTCATGAGCACCAGTCCCGGACGGAGCAGCAGCTCGAATGAGACGGGGCAAAGCTGCTTGGATGATAGGAAGGTAAGACGCCCCTGCAATTCCTGAAGGATATATCACAAGTTCAGAACTAGGCAGCGCTTCCACATGATGGATTAAGTAAAACAGGACTATGAAGAACTAAGTTAGGACATAATTTAACAATAACTGGTGGCATTTATTAGAAACCACAAAGTTCTATATCTCAAGCATCCCAATCTATCAACACAGTTTTTCCTTTTTTTTCCTTTTCATCCTTGTGTGTGTGTGTGTTCGGAACAGAGTACATTACGAGAAAGCACCTTTCTGACTATGAGAGCACTGGGTTATAGAGTCAACAAGGAAAAACAGATCCACTCTGCGATGAAAGCTTGACTCGGATTCCAACTTATGGATAAGAAGTTCAACAACCTGAAATAAAACAGAATTGGTGTCATTAAGTTGTTGAAGAATCATGGAAATGTAGAATTTGACAAATCTGATTGCATATAAACGAATTTTATTTAAAACAATCAGGTCAAAACTAGACTACTAAAATAGTTCCTTATATTCCCTAGCAGACCCTGATCCTCAAACGAGTCAGAATTCCAAACTTCCTATGACATCTACCACTAACTCAATATTCTTTTTAGTAATTGGTGGCATGCGCCTGATACTAACACACCTGAACTGAAAAAAAATTGGATTAAGAGATATCCAAAGATTATTAAAATCTTAAATAATAAGTTACAGAAAGAATATCACCTACACCATGCATCATGTTGCGAATAATACTCAAAATTACAATTGACCGATTCTAAAACTGTAAAACCAAATAAATACTAAAGCAATAATATCTACAGAAATTGCAATTAAATTATCATTCTACATTGGCCACACATAGCTAGAAAATACTCTAACCTGACAGCACGTCTTAATATTTATATCTTCTTGAGCATGAAATGACATGTTAATTTTTCCCATGTCTATATGAGCACTTACATATGATTGCAACAAATGAAATCTCTAGCGTGTTGATAAATGGGTCTGGTAGAAGTAGAATGGATTCCTAAAGCCATCTCAAAGAGGGAGGATACACAATCCACAGTTATATGCAATAACAGCCGAACAACAAATCGATGTGGGACAAACATAACTTCTAACATACGCCCTCACGCATAGTGTACCATGTCTATATGAGCACTTACATATGATTGCAACAAATGAAATCTCTAGCGTGTTGATATATGGGTCTGGTAGAAGTAGAATGCATTCCTAAAGCCATCTAAAAGAGGGAGGATACGCAATCCACAGTTATATGTAATACAGCCCAACAACAAATCGATGTGGGACAAACATAACTTCTAAGTTCTAACACACGCCCTCACGCATAGTATACCAATCCAAATGGATTGGGTCCAAACCAACATCGCCTCCAAAAAAAAAACTCCTCGGTAAAACTGATCCCCAAAAATTAGCCCAAAGGGAGAGGGTGTCAAACCCACACTTCTACACAATAGCAACCCAATACTAACCGATAGGCGCAAATAATTTCCAACACATGTAAAATGGAAAGATAGCTATAATTGTACATCTTATGGAAACCTTAATATTCTACAGAAGAATCCACGAACATATTTTCATGCCGTCTTAGTCTAGAAGGGATGGACAACGATAGAAACAAGTTTTCCAATAAGAGTTTTGATCCAAATCCTTCAATCAAAGATCAACAGATTTCCACCTCTCGTAACTCACAATCTCAACAAACTTAAATCTCGACTGTTGCAAAGCATATCACATTCTGCCAGTGTTATCAAATGGCGGCCATGGCGGCGGTATGGCGTGGCGGATTTCATCCAAACCGCCCATGCTAAATTTGTGAAGGATCGCGGTTATGACGGTGCCATAGGACGCCACAGCGGGATTTTGGCCTGCCGCCATCCGCCATTAATAACATTGCATTCTGCTCACTACGAACCCAATACAAGCAACGAAACTAGAATAAACAAAATAGCCAAAGGTAAGATTCATATTCCTGAAGCAATTATATCCATCTCCATTTTCCTCTTTAAGGCTTAAGCAAAACTTAAAGTTTCAACTTGCAAGACACATGAGAGACCTGAATGCTACATGTCTTGTACTAATTCACTTGACAGATTGATGGCCCACAATAAAATAATTTAAACCGGACATATCATGGACAATGACATAATACATTGAAGTCTCAGTAAAACTTAGTTATGGAGCAGAGATCCAAAGGAGATCTACTAGAAGGAAAATAACTGACAAAGAATATAATGTTAAGATTAAGTTCCAACCAGAGGAAGGTGACTCTCATCAAGCAGGCTAATGACAATTTTACGAAAGTAATCCTATGGAAACAACAAACGGGAAAGCATGACAGGGACTGAAGAGAAAATTTAGTACATAAGGTCCCATCTTATTCACAAACATATAGTCAAATAAGAAGGCTAGAAGAAGAAAATTTGTAGTTATAAATTACCAACCTCATTGGCGATCCCATATTTTGCACAATCAATCGCAAGACGAGTCGCACGACCAATACTTTCTTTGGTCCTTGAAAGTGTCTCTATCATTCCTTCAAAAGCATCACGTGCAACAGCTGCCTCAGTATCCCCACTCAAAGAACTTCCAGTGGCTTGACGACCTGAACTAACCCTCCTCTCCTGAAGTTCGTCCTTCTCATTTTCATTGACTGATGAAAATTGACGAACATCAGAGGGAGGATTGGGCTGTAACCTTTCCACATCCAAATGGAGTGCTTTGTTTGATTCAACCAGCAGTGTACCAGGATTAGGGCTTGGACTCATGTCAGAATCAGGAAACACTAGTTGATGATGATTTAAGTAAGAGCTCTGAGAGTTTGCTTGCTTCTTTCTCGCCTGGGCAGCAGCAATGAGATGTTTCATGGATGTAACAGAGTCTGAAATTTTTGAATTAACCGAGAAACTAGTTTTGGAGTCGCTACCAACATTCAGCCTGATTAAAAGTAGCAAAAAATGAGATAAAAATTTTCAAATCATATAATTTTTTTTTTTTTCTTCTGGGTATCATTAAGATTTTACCTACCTTTCACTAAGTGCAGAAACATTACCATCCAGATCGCCAACCGAAAAAAGGGAATCGTTGATCTGGGAACCCGACAGTGGAGGAGTACTTTTTTTCTCTCCAGGTGAAGTTGGATTATTTCTTTCAATAGTCGGTTGCTTGATTGATGATCCATCAGCAGCTGTAGCAATACCCCTACTAGCTCCCGATGGAACTTTCTTCTGGGAATTAACAACAGGTGTCTTGCTCAAGTGCTTCTTGTGTGGTTCTACTAATGGCTTGACAACACTAACAGATTGAGAGGAATCAAGGGCTGATTTAGCCTCTACGGAGGACATCTTTCCGGTTTCCACCTTACGTTGATTAGGAGACAAATATTCAGCTGATGCTTCTCTAGTTCTATTCTCGATTCCTTTCTCAGCAACTGGTGATGAAGTTTTGTTGGGCAACCTAGAAGATAGAGCTCTTTTTTTTAAGGCATCATCAATTATTCCTGAATTTCTCAAGACCGGTCGATCTTTTGCATAACCCTCATCACGCTTGACAGTTTTGTTTTTCGACTCTGATATGAGAGGATTAGCAGAAATCTTTTGCCCCTGGGGAACTCCTCCATGAACTGGTGTTTTAGGCAATTCATCATCATCGTCGTCACATATGCGGACAGCTCTCCGCTTTTTTGGCAGCTGCATGCCTGAAGATCGAACTTTGTTAGGATTCCCCGAGCCATTTTTATTAGATGCAGAATCTCCATTTAAATTTTCAGAAACCAAAGCAGAAGTGGACATCATTCCTTCTGCCACAGAATCACGCTTTGCCAAACAGGGATCATCTTCGGCAGCAGATTGGTTAGGTAGGTTATTAATTGTATCCACTCTAGGGGGCTGATGATTCTCTACCTTCCCACCTGATGCCAACTGTTTATACTTTGGTTTATCCAGTTTGGTGTACTGATCAACAGGACTGATAAGATCAGCCTTCCTGCTTGTTTTAGCTCTTAACATCTGAGCACCGTCCACTGTATCGGCAGATTTTGATATTTGGGCAGGAGATGGGGCTTCAACTGTCCGAGAAGTTAGTTTACCATGGTCGCGTTGGAGCTTCATCTTTTTACTGGGGTTAACTTCGTAATGCTCCTCCGAACTATCCAATCGACCATCTACTGCCATAGGATGCTTCTTCTCTTTCAACTTTTTCACCTTCGTACTGCCGCCAAGATCTGAACCTAACCTTGAATTATCAGCAGATGACACCTTCATGTTACCGCCCGAAGCATATTTTATTTGCATCCCATCTCCAGTATTTTCTGGAGATTTAATCGAACCACTATTTCTTAGCAGTTCTTCCTGCTTCCTCTTTGGCCCCTTTGACAGCTTGGACTTCCGACTATCAGCAAATTCACTCCGGCCACCATCAGAGCATCCACCCTCAGCTTTGACTTTATGAGAAGCTTCCTCCTTCAAAGAGGCATGACGAGATGGGGTAGATCCTAAAACAGAGTTCTTCAGAAGATTAGAAGGGTTTGCAGAAAGCTTGCTCTTCTTTCCGGGAGATATATATGGAGGTGGACTACGATCAATGTCATGTGACGAGCAAGGTTTTACATCTTGAAAATCCATTTCACCTTTTCTTTGCGCACGCCCAATTCCAGAGCCCTGATCACTTAACCCATTGATCTCCAATTTGCATTTTGGTTCTTCCCTATCGATTTCATCGTCTGCGCTAACTTCTAAAGCATCATCTTCTACTGGATCAGCAGAATGTGCCTCAGAGGCTATATTTTCTGCATTGTTATCTTCTCTTCTACCGCTTAACTTATTTCGCTGCAACACATCAAATTCTTCAGAAATTTCCTTCACTGCTTGGACAAAGTTACCGGCTGTCTTACCCTGACATCGAGCAGACAACTTATTTTTTATTTCACTAGTGAATGCCTGGATATCGGCAGGAGCGACAAAAGCTCTGTTAAGAAGAAACATCTTAAGAGTATTAAAAATACAAAAGTAGTAATACTATACCAATAAAATTAACAACTAGCAACAAATGTAGAAACGCTTCGGACATGAAGAAGATAATAGGGTAATATCTCTGCCACAAATTACATTTACAAAACCCCAAGAACTCACTTTCTCAAGGATTGTTCAAAACTCTCGAGCAATGCAATAACTCCATAACATCATTGATCAAGAGCAAACATATTGTAGATAGATGACATCAAAATAAATAAAAAAAATAATAAAAAAAAAAAACTCCTCAACATAAAAGCGAATACCAAAAGCAGCTACGCAATCACTTGTTGTCGTTCGGCATGCGTAAAGGGACAAAAATATTTTTCATCTCAAGTAACTCCAAGCATATCAACCATTTATTTAGAAAAGGTGACTTAGATAATGAATAACTTAAAAGTAAAGTTATTAACACTTGATAAAGCATTCAAAATGTGAATGTTAATAAAAGTCCATAATAGTGCTACATATATCCTTTAATAAATCAAGTTACCAAAATCTAAGGGCAAGAATATATCTGAAAAATGTCAAAACTGATTATAATTCTTTTGAAAGTACTTTTCAGTTTTTTGTCATCATTAACTGAAGAACAATAAAGTGCCTAGATGTAATTTTTAAATAAAACAAATTAAAAAAAAAAAATAGGAATATATAATTCGAGTTGTAAATAACCACAAATCTAATGGCGAGGTCACTGCTATGTGGCATATGTAACAGCAAAATAAAAGCCTTCAACAGAAAAATGGGCTTGATATACTTGCTGGAAAGGCCATCGTAGTTGAAAATCAAATTACTCAAGTATCAACCTACGATGTTTATACTGAGGTTGTCGTGTCACAAGTTAAAAAAAAAAAAGAATGTGAAAAGGCACACAAATAAAAACATTTCTATATTCGGAAGAACCTATTGCAGCTATATCATCACTACCTTACTTTCTAGCTTCCACTTGTGGCTCAAATTCCTACGGTATCTTAGGACACAAGATATACTTTCAAAAGATCAATACATTAACAGTGGCAATCATATAAGAGTTCTATTATCAGAATACGGTCAAAACATTGGAAACTTATGGGTTTCCTCATTCAAGTAACAAAAGAATAGTACTAAATTTGACCAATTCGAGGAGCTCTAGAAGCTCTCTTTTTATGAGACACCCAGACTAGGTGACTTGCAGCTTACAAGTAAAGGTGCGGGAGACCAAAAGAATCACTGGATAAACTATTTCCTTTCCAAAATTAAAACCGAGTATGGACATCATGAATTGGATACTTCATATTGCATCTTTCCCTTGGATTCTTTGACAGAAGTCCATGTGTAATTTCCTGGCTTTTGCCAAGTCTATTCTCAGATAACAAAAATAAAATCACACGCCTTTTCAAATAACACAAGATAAACAATTTATTCAAAGCTTTGCTTCTGTAATCTGTATATCTCCTATATGCTTCACATGGCTTGCTTGTGCATTGACCCCAATAATTTATGGCCGTAACTTTATAAAACTGCATTTATCTACACTACAATCCATACAATATTCAACTAGTGATATCCTTGATCAAATGATATTTCATGCAACAAGAAAAATTTCCTGAATCGCATATACTTGACCAATTTAATCGGGCAAAGTAAGCCCATTAGATTACCCAAATCGAGACTCATAACTACAATTACATAGGACACGCATTGTAACAAATCTGAGATATAGGGAAAACCCACCTAATACAAGATTTAAGAAACAGAATTTCTCTTTTCGAATCTAGTAACAGGCATTCAGTAAATCATCTGCCCCAAGGAAAAGCCATATGGGATAGAGATTATGCTGCCACTCAGTGCATATATAAAAATAAAGAAACTTTATTTAGATAATTTTCCAACTTGCAATAAACCTTTTCATAAATCTAAGAGGACAGGAGATACGAGGAAAGTACTCACATTTCATTTGTACCAAAAAAATGGACGAAAAACTTCTTAGGGTCAGGTGCATGCTTCCAGTCTTCAGGCCTGCTAATCTGGAATTTAAAGCCACAAAATATTTTCCCAATCATCAAAAGCCAGAGTTTGCTATTAACAGCCAAGAAAAGCTGAACACCCTTCAATCAACCTAATTAAGAAACAAGTAACACGAAAATACTAACCAAAAACCTATCTATCAATATTGGAAGATAATAATCTGTTTCCTATTGAGTTAAACAGGGATTTTAACAATTTCATATACAGATAGAGACATTCAGAAATAGGAAACCACCTCATTATCCAAAAATAAAGATTTATATCACGATACGACATTAACTTGAAGAAATCTCAAACCAAAACAAAATCATTAATGCATATACTAGCACACATTGACATTGTCAAATAACGGGGCAGACTGAATGGGAAATAAATGCACAAAGACATCATCTTATTACCGGCAAACCCCAAAGTCCCCACAACTGCACGCGGCAGCGTAATGGACTATAAACGCATCAAGATACAAGCTATAATCAACGACTTCTATAATACCCATAGCGTTTCCTTCTAAACCCTAATTCAGATGCCTCTTTGGTTGCCTTTCACAAACTCCCAAACCAATTTCTATTTTCTAAAAGTGGATCGCTTATCTAAAACCCTCACCCGAAAACACCAGTGTTTTCCGCCTTGTCCCCTTTCGTTCCCATTCGTATTAACACACCCATAAGGCATAATCAGTTACAGTAGGAGTACTTTTAATCAAGCCAAGCAACTCAAGGTCACTCCACGAACGCGAGAAGTTCTTCGAATGCGAAACTAATATGGATTCCAAACCCAACAAACACAAATCCATTCGAGAAAAACACGAAAACGAAATTGAATCAAAGCAATAATATGCAGAAAACACGAAAATAAAATCCAAAAAAAAGGGAGTCAGAACATACCTTGGCAGGCCAAGCGGGAAAACCCTTGACCTTGGCGAGAACGAGATCACCCAAACTCAACTCCGTCTTCGTTTTCAAGCCTTTCGCTCCACGCTTACGCCCTGGAGCCATCTCCTCCAAAATCCTACCCTATATTTTTTTTTTCCCTCAATTAAAGCCAAAACCCACCAACAAGAAGACAAGAACAAAACAACCCTAGAAGAGAAACTGGTTCATGGGGTCAGTCTCCCCCCAAAAATCGACCGCCAGCTTTGGGCTCTTGGCCTTGGTGTTTCCCCCTTCACTGTTCCCCCGAGATCAGAAACGTAAAGAATGCTTTCTTCCTCGTGATTAAAAAATGTTGTAACAAAAGAACCACAGTACCACCATATGTTTGAGAAAAATATTATAATGAAAAACTTTATAATAAAATTATATGCATCTACAAATTAGTAAAAATATGCCATTTATTATGCTTTGGAAAAAAAAGTTACCCTAGAATGTTGCATTCATTTCATTTATCTTAGATTAATTTTATAACTTGAAGTGATCGTTTTAATACATATAACCAGTATTCGATCAGGTGTACATTCACATAAAAAAGTAAAATATAATATTTGAAATTATAAGATATATATTGAGTATATTACATTTATATTCATGATAATTAGTAAAAATGAGCGTAATAATTATAAATTATTTACTTATACATAAGAACTACGTATATTGCATAAAATTTAATGAATACTGTATCTTTATTTTTACAAATTTAAGGGGTTATAACTTATAACCAATTAGTTAGTTAAAAAAAAATATTAAAATTATTATTGGTATAGCAACTATTTACATAATTTTAAGGGATTGATTATGTCACTAAAATCAATTAGGTACATAAAAAAATTTGCCATGTGATATAAATAAAGAGATAATATTAATTTTAAAATATATAGCTTGGAGAAAATGTTTTGGTATAATTTTTTATAATTGTGTAACTTCTAACTTTTAACATAAGGTTATAATTAACTAATATTAGTAATAATTATAATATGATAAAATAATTAAAATTATTGTTACAATTAAATAATGCAAAAAGTATTGTAATGTAATGTTTATAAAAGAATAATGGAGTCTACTCCATGTCTCAGCCTCGTAGGTACTTTGTTTACCAACTTCGGTCCTAAAATTTTGTTTTTAAATGTATTGTAATGTAATGTTTATGAAAATCGTATTTTAGTGGCTTAAATGTGTTGAAATGTTGCTTAAAGTACTGAAGTTGATACGCCAAAAAATCTCGAATCGTCGGATCGTTCCTCTTGAAATGGTTTGCGCCTCCTTGATCGCCAGTTACCTGCAAAACACATCGGGAGATGGTCTCTGTGCGGACACTCCGACGCTCAAGTCAGTAGGATGCTCAAGAAAAAACGGTAGAATAACGAGATAATCTGTATTCGTGTACGTGTATGTTGCGTCAAAGTAAAGAAACTTGTCCCCTTTTTATAGTCGGGAATGACCGTGTTTTACAGGACTTATAGTACCTCAAGGAGTCTTCCCTTCATCTGCCTCTCAACAATGCACACCTCATCTGATAATCTAGAGTCCTGGTTAGTCTCACCTTCCTTGATCAAGAAGGAATAAGTAGAAGAGACAGTAAACTTTCCTTTTTTTTTCTCTAAGCACCAAAATATCCTGTCAAGTTTGAATGGATTGAGAGTGTTAATCTTTAGGATAGTCTGACTATCTTCTTCATTGAACAACTGTTTTACCAGCCAAGAGTTCCACTGAAGTCCATCTTCTTGCAGCAGCCCCTTAACCCATGTGATGTATCCTCTGGCTATTGCCAATAAGGAAGGCTTTGTTGTAGATAGATTAGGAACCCAGTTTATATCAGAAAAAACAATTTTATAGTAATATTTAAATTTACATGGCGTCAATTTTAGATTTCTCATTTGTGAGGATTCTTATTTATTTTATCATATTTATTAGAACCAACAATTTGGATTGACATTTATATACACAAAATATAAATTTATATTAATATTTAAATATGTTTTACATTCTAGCAAATTTTGAAAATGAACGATTTTATATGAGACTTATACAAATCTTTTTTTTTTTAGATATAAACCAATTCCCTTAATTGGTATTCTTTTTGTCAATTGTTTTCAAAAGAAAAATTTTTAAAATTTTGTATAGTAAATCGATCTTACTTTTTCGTATACACAAAATATAAATCTATATATGCAAAATCTATATCAATATATATAAATTTAATACATAAGAAATTGTCACATATATAATAGGAAAGTTATCTAACTAAAAGTTGTTCAGCTTGAAAATATATATAAAAAGTTCTCACACATCCAATTAGAAATTGTTCGGCTTGAAAAAATTAGCGTGAAATAATGTCTAACCACTAATATTTTTATATTTTATATCTACTAAATATAATATCTCTCATAAAATTAGTGTGATGTAATGTTTAATGTTTTGTATTATTCATACATATTTTTGTTGATATAATTACTAATATTTTTTGGACTTTATTACATATTATTCACATGTAGTATTTTGTATATTTTAAACATGTTGTGTGTATATATATATGGGTGTTGAATTTTTTTAAGACATGTTTCACTTATAAAAATTTTAAAATGTGAGATCACATTTTTTAGGAATAATATAGAATATTTTAGATAATCTTACACATGTTGTATAACAATTTAGTGTTTTTAATATTTTAAACATACATGTTTAAGGTTCTTTTAAACAACATAAAAAACTATAAAAATTTTAGTGAATATTATTTAGATATCAAGTATAATCGATTTAAAATGATAAACTAACAACTCATTTGTCCAACTGTCGTATAAATTATCATATTATAAACAGATCCATTTTAGACTTCTTTTTAAGTTCCAACAGCACCAGTTCTTTCTGATTTTGGGGTTCTATTTAACAGTCAATGTCAGTCTTTTTGTAGGGAGATGCTGCAGTCCCGTTACGGAACCATTCCGTTGAGGTGTATAACCGTTAGATCAATTATCACCGACGGTTACATGATGATCTAACGGTTATAAATTCATTGGAATAATTTCATAACGGCACCGTAGCATTTCCCCTTTTTGTATAAAAGAAATATAGAAATATTAGTGAATATTATTTAACTAATAAAGTATAATCGATGTTAAAATGATACGCTTGGATATAAAATTTTTTGGTTTGGTTTGGTTAATTTTGAAAGGTGGTGTGGTTAGTTGATAGTTGATATATTGAAATAATATTTAAAATAAAATAATTAAAGGTGATTTGGTTTAAAAGTATGAGAGAGATGATTTGAAGTGATTGTTAGTTAAAATTATGCGAGTGGATGAATAGTGAATTAAAGTTGATGTGGTGTGTAAGAGTGGTTGATTGATATTATTTGGTTATATTGATAATATTGAAGGTAGTGGGGTTGAGTTAAATATGATTAGATTCTTTTGGATAGATTTGTATCCAAGCATCCTCTAAAACAACAGCTCATTTGTCTGACTGCTTAAGTAAATTATTATATTATAAAAAGATCCATCTTAGGATTCCATTTAAGTTCCAGAGCACCAGGTAATTCTAATCTTAGGGTTTCATTTAAGGTCAGAGTCAGTCTTTATGTACGTTGGCATAATATTAAACAAAATCAGTTCTTCACCACGATCAATTATATGTTGTTGTTGTGTAAGTATTAGATAAGAGTTGTGCATTAATGGCATGTTCTTAAAAATATCTATTTTTTATCACGACCAATTGTATGTTGTTGTTACGCATATAAGTAATAGATAAAGAAAAGTTAAGGTCAACCTTTATTGCGTTGGCGTGTTCTTACAGAAAACAATTTTTAGTCACAGACATTTATGTTGTTTGTTTCGTGTGTAAGTAATAGAAAAAGGTTAAAAATATTAGTTTGTGGGGACACAAGTTGCTCAATTATTAAAGAAATAATGTTGTGTTCAAGAATATTTTAAATAATATATTTTTTGCATGAGAAACAATTTATAGTTTGACAATTTTCCTACGAATTATTACTTTTTATTTATTAATACATTTTAATTTTTAATATTTTCCAAAATAAATACATCATGTGCATCGCACGGGTTCCATACTAGTTATATGCATCTACAAATTAGCAAAATGCCATTTATTATGCCTTGGAAAAAAAAAGTTACCCTAGAATCTTGCATTCATTTCATTTATCTTAGATTAATTTTATAACTTGAAGTGAACGTTGCAATACATCTAACCGGTATTCGATCAGGTGCACATTCACAGATAAAAGTAAAATATAATATTTGAAATTATAAGATATATAATGAGTATATATCACATTTAATATTCATGATAATTAGTAAAAATGAGCGTAATAATTATAAATTATTTACTTATACATAAGAACTACGTACATTGCATAAAATTTAATGAATAGTGTATCTTTATTTTTACAAATTTAAGGGATTATAACCAATTAGTTAGTTAAAAAAAAATATTAAAATTATTATTGGTTAACAACTATTACATAATTTTAAGGAATTGATTATGTCACTAAAATCAATTAGGTGCATAAAAAAATTGCCTAGTGTGATATAAATAAAGAGATAATATTAATTTTAAAATATATAGCTTGGAGAAAATGTTTTGGTATAATTTTTTTATAATTGTGTAACTTCTAACTTTTAAAATAAGTTTATAATTAACTAATATTAGTACTAATTATAATATGATAAAATAATTAAAAATATTGTTACAATTAAATAATGCAAAATGTACTGCAATGTAATGTTTATAAAAGAATTCTGGAGTCTATTCCATGTCTCAGCCTCGTAGGTACTTCGTTTACTAACTCCGGTTTTAAAATTTTGTTTTTAAATGTATTGTAATGTAATGTTTATGAAAATCGTATTTTAGTGGCTTAAATGTGTTGAAATGTTGCTTAAAGTACTGAAGTTGATACGCCAAAAAATCTCGAATCGTCGGATCATTTCTCTTGAAATGGTTTGCGCCTCCTTGATCGCCAGTTACCTGCAAAACACACTGGGAGATGGTCTCGGTGGGGACACTCCGACGCTCAAGTCTGTAGGATACTCAAGAGAAAATGGTAGAAT